ATTGTCGCTCTTATTCTTGTCTGCCTTTAAGTTAAATAGTTATTTTAAGCCAAACATTTACTTGAAATATAACAATTAGATGGTGATAGTGGTGATGTTAAGGGTTGTGACGATGATGATGGTGGTGATGATGACGATGAAGATTGTAGTGATGGTGACGATGATTGTGATGATGATGTTGATGGTGGTGATGAGGATATATTGATGTAGAACAAAGTTTATATGACATTAACAAAATGCTTGTTTTGAATTTTTTATTAATCATATATAGATACATGGATGAGAATGATTTTGATACAAGAAGTTATATTAAAATATTTGTGACATGTTAAATGTTTTTTTGTGAACGATAAAATGTGTGTTGTAATAACAATTTCTCATTACTATGCCGTCTTTCTCATTTATTCTCTATATCTTAGTCTATCTCATATATGTTACTGCAATCTCATTCGTGTGACCTAAAATATCGTTTTTTGTTGTATTTAACTTAAATATTTCTGTGATTTTATAATTATTGACATTGCTTGAACTTATTTGTACGTTTAAGAACATAAAACCAAAAGAAAAAAGGGTTCAACACATATCACTCAAAAATTGCCATAGAAATTCGGAAAGTGAAATTCACCCATTCATCCATTGACTTACAAATAAATTCATCCTCTAATTTGCCATCCTTAGAGGTAGAATATTTTCTTCAAATGGGACCAATAATACTGTGTTGTGATTTCCAACAAAAAAATCCTCAAATTCGGTTCACAAATGAGTTACCGGAGTTATCGCGTAACGTACGAGAGGTGATTGATAAGTTTTAAGACATTTCGTTTAAGTTTTATTATATTTTCAGTTTCATAATCAATTGTCATGTTTAAAAGCTATATAGCCAATTGTCAATAAATAAATACTATTAACTATTGAGCGTTTATTGAAAATTTTAGTTCGTGTTCCCAATCTTTAAACTATTGTTGATAAACTATTGGCATGAATGTTATTGCAATTTTTAAATGGAATTTTCATCATTTTAATAATTTTATTGACCGAAAATCGTAAAATAACTTTTAAATAGTGCTAAATTTGACTTTAATATAATCAATGAAAATATACGAATACAAGATACGTCCCAATTATACATATTATTAAATTACAAACTCACCTTATTAATTTCAATGATAATGATTAGACATGACATGTAATTTTTTAATACAGTTGCTCAAAACGTGGTATTTTTCGCACTACAAATCGTGCGGAAAGTTGGATTTCTCGCACTAGTGCTTTTTACGTTTCCAGTTTTTTTTTAATTTACTGTTGTTTTAAGTCTTAAACATAGAACTAAAGAGATTGTATATTTATTTCATATTTATGTGCTTTGTGACGTAAGTCATTCGTCATTAAAACATTGTATTTATTTACAAATACTATATAATGAACGTATCGAGTGGAGGTCTCTGCCTACCCCTGTGTACTCTTATTAGGAAGCTGGAACATTACGGTGTAAATGGCAAGGCGTCGAAACTTGTCTGGTCATATCTCAACGGTAAAATTCAGAAAGTAGACATAAATGGAGTGACTTCTTTGGGTTCTCCAGTAAAAATGGGTGTTCCGCAGGGCTCAATACTTGGACCTTTCTTATTTCTGATTTATATTAATGATCTGCCATTCTTTGTTAAGGACCATTGCGAAATAGTGTTGTTTGCTGATGATACATCCTTGATTTTTAAAACAGACAGACATGACATTAACTATGACCATATAAATGATACCCTCTCTAAGGTAGTTTATTGGTTTAATGCATTGACTTAAAAGTTCAATGCTAACAATTTATTGCTTAATGCCAAGAAGACAAAATGTGTTAAATTTGAATTACCTAACGTAAAATCGACTAGTCCAAGCATAGAAATAAACGGAGAAAAGTTAGACCTTGTTAATAAAGCAGTCTTCTTGGGAGTGACCTTAGATAGTAAACTTCAATGGTTTCCACGTATATCGTCTCTGGCCAGCAGATTAAGCTCCGCTGCATACGCAGTCCGCAGAATACGTGAGCTTACCGATGTTAGTACTGCTAGACTAGTTTACTTTAGTTACTTCCATAGTATAATGTCCTACGGGATTCTCATGTGGGGTAAAGCGGCAGATATTCAAACCATATTTGTATTGCAAAAACGAGCGATTCGTTCTGTTTCCGTCTAGGTTCTCGGGTATCTCTCAGAGAAAAGTTTAAGGAGACTGGTATCATGACTGTGGCATCACAGTACATTTACTCAAATATTTTATATGCCCGTAAA